CAGACACAAACTTACAGGAACTGGAAAGGATGAGGAGGAGGAGGACACAATTTCCATCACTTGCTATGAGGACAGCAGCCTTTGGCACTCACCTCTCTTGATCCAGATATTCTTGCGGAATTTCGTGGGCATGCTCACAAGGAACCGCGTCCCTTCAGATGTCTCCACCTCATGGAGATTGTTGCCAGGGGTCCCCACCACCTGGAGGAAATAGGCAAAACAAAGTTGTGCTGGGGTTTGTACCCACAAACAGCAACCATCACTGTAACTCCATGAAAAGGGCCCTTTCTGTTCGACTGGCTTGAAACCCACCCACTCCGCTTTCCTCTCCTGCAGGGGAGGAAGAGCCAAACCTCTTGAACCGCCCAGCTATAGACAAGATGAACAGAGGGAGGCAAAATAATCAGAGAACTGTAGCTTTGGAGTAGACACAAAGGATAATCTAGTACAATCTCCTGCAAAAAGCTGCCCCAGATCCATAATCAGGGTTAATGCAGATCTAAGACAGCCCTCCCCAACCGCCAGATGTTTTGGGCTATGAATTTTGTGATTCCCAGCAAGCTCAGCTGACAGCAGTTGTCCAAAGCAGCTGTACTAACTGGAGCTTGCTGAGAGGTATGATCCAAAACAACCAGAAGGCACTAGAATGAGGGATGATGATGTACAACAACCAAGTCTACAGCTGTCTTGGGTGGAACACAGCTGCTAGAAACTGCAAAATCAGGACAGAAAATGAGCGATGACATCTGGAAGCCCATGGCCAGTCCAGGCTGGAGATGCACAGTGGGGAGGCCTCTGTTCTCACCCGGACGATCTGCTGCCTCTCTGAAGGCACCACATACTCTTCTAGGACTTCTTTCACCACATGCTTGCGTTTTGTGGCCTGGGACATGCTGTTCTGTTAGCCCTGGGGAACCGTGTCTCTGCCGGGGGCGGGGTGATGCAAGGAGCCGTTTGCAGAATACGTCCACGTTCTAGGAGGCTGCCCAAAAGAAAGTGAATTGAATAATGAATGGAAGAGCATCACAAGTGCTTTAGCAGTGGAAATATCAACTAGGACAGGTAGAGCACTGCATGGGGCTGGGAGATAATGGAAGCCAGGTCCAATTGCTCTTCATTTTTAATTCATTTAGTTTAAATATTGCTTCTCACTACTGGAAGGAGTTGCAAAGCATTTTACAGGGACAATGGCATGCAAAATATACCAGGGGTAGCCAATGCAGTGGCCTTCAAATGTTCCTAGACTACAACTTCCATAAGCTCATTCCAGTATGGCCAGTGGTGAGGGGAGTTGTAGTCCAAAACATTGGGGCACTAGGTTGCTTGCTCCTGAAATATACAATTTTAAAAATCAGAATGAAAAACCTATGCTAAAAGTGTTCACCCTGTTCTGCCTGCACCAGGAATAGAGGTCTTCCTCGACATCGCAGGGAGAGGCCAATGGAGATAAACAAAGAATGGTGGGGGAAACTCATTCTTTGAATTCCTCTCTGGGTGGGAGAGGAACAGGGGTCTAGATAAACTGTATAATTTAGTATTTTAATAATTGGTTTTAATAACTATTAATTGGATAAAATTGGCATTGTTATAATGAGGCTGTTATTGGAACAATATTGAATAAAAAATATTTAGATGGGCAAAAAAGTGTTCATCCAAAAAAATCATGCATAAGATAGCCAGCCCACCCAAATTACGAACAGATATAAAAAATAAAAGAGCAAGCACCAAGGAGAATAAAAACATTTTCATCTGGTGTCAGGATGACAATGTCAGTGCAGGTGAGCTTCCCTGGGGAGAGAATTCCACGATCAGGGGGCACCAGAGAAAAGGCCACTCCACCCTCCTGCCCACAACTCTTGGAAGACCTGCCAGATAACCCACAGGTTTAAAACATAAGAATGGATGGGACCAAAATACCTCCATAGGAATTCGCTTGTGTTCAGTGATGGGGAGGTTCTTTGTATAGGGGTGGGGGTGAGGGTCCACAGAAAACTGACCTGTTTCCAACAACAGCCAACGTCGTCCAAGTTCAAGGGCTGTGGATCCAGTGCTAATTTCACTCTCTGGTACATTCACAGTTCTGGAAGAGCTTGAAGGGTGTTTGTGGAGAGATGTAATAATAGTAGGTCATCATACGCAAGGACAGTCTCAGGGGCTCAGAGGTATACAGCTTTTGAACATGGATGTTCTACCACTGCCATTGATCCTTCATAGATTTATCTACTCTGTTACAATTGCTGGATCTGAAGAAAAGATTCATCTGGTCCAGACTTCCTCAAATGGCGCCCTCCAGATGTTATGGGCTACAACTCCCATCAGCTCCAGCTGCATGGAGTTGTAGCCCAAAACATCTGGAGGACACAAAGCATTGGAGTTTTTTTGGGGGTGCATGTGTGATTTATTCCAACATCCTCTATCCCACAATGTCTAACTATGTGCTGTGTGAAGAAGTCCTTCCTTTTATTTCGTCCAATATGCAGCTTCATTGAATGTCCCCGAGTTCTAGTGTTAGGAGAGAGGGAGAGAAGCTTTTCCTTATCCACTTTCTCCATGCCATGAAGAATTTTATACACTTCTATCATGTTGCCTCTTACTTGCCTTTTCTCTAAACTAAGAAGTCCCAAATCTCAAGGCCTGGGATACTTCACATCTGGCAACCCTTGCTGGGAGTAAGCTAGTTGGATTCCACTCATAGAGCTTACTTAGCACTTTGGTGCTCTATATTTCAGCACTCAATGCGCTTCCCGTGTTAACTCTTAAAGTCTTAAATTACTATTTTTTAGTTTTTCTTATTGATCATTCTATTGGGGGGCGGAGGGTTTTGTTGTTGTTGTTGTTGTTTTTTGCAGACCACTTTCGTTTGTTTCTTTTACAATCAAGCCGCGTATAAATTTTATGAAATAAATAAATAAAAACTCGGCAAGCACCACAACAGCCCTGTGAGGTAGGACCGGCCCACCCCCCGCCCTTAGGAAGGCAGTATCGGGCTCTCATCTGTTTTTGAACCTACCCTTTCAAAGCGTCCTGCGCCCCCAAACCTGCAGCCCAGCCCTCCGTTTGGTCGATACCTGCTTAAGAACTGGCGCCTTCTCGTCCTCTCCGAAGCGTGAGAAGCGAGAACTTCCTACTTCCGGCTGCCCTGGACCCGACTTCCGGGTGCGTCACGCTTTTCCTTCCCGGAGTGCTGCGCTTAAAAACTTCCCCACCTCCGAGGAAAGCTGCCCTAATTGGACTATATACCTGTGAGTTAAGAGCACTGCGGGTGCAGCCACTTCAGAATTGACTTGTCAATGACTTGTTGTGATATCAGCCTTGCTGATTTGTGCAGGAGAGGGCGAAAGAGAAACACGGATTAGATCACCGAATGACCAGAAGAATCAGAAATCAGGAAGACCAAAATTTTAATAAGGAATGGGGGAAATTTATAATTTATCTTAAAAACCATTGTAAACAGTTAAAACCGTTAGTAGGACTGGAATAACATTTGTAGTTTAATGGTGAACTTTGGACATAATGGAGAGGTAAAATATTTGGATTATCATAAAAGATGCAGGAGGAAATGATTAACCATAGGACCCACAAAGGGGAGGAAGGAAGTCCAGGAGATTCTATGGAATCTTGTTTTTATGTTGTGTATTGGATATGTGATTGTAAAACTTTGATCTGAAAACCAAATAAACATTTTTTAAAAAGAAAAAAGCACTAAATGAAACAAACAAAACAAAAATAACCCAAGTATCCGTTTTGTCCTAAATAACCTCTCCAAAGAGAAACTTGAGTGATTGCTGGGGGAATATGTTGGTACAGATCTGGCCACGTATGAAAAGAAGGGGAACTAGACAGAGAATTGTAGAGTTGGAAGGGACCCTGAGGGTCGTCTGGTCCAACCCACTGCAATACAGGAATCCAACATACATTTCCATGTGGCATCTCATCAGCCCGTCCATCTTTTCACCCAAAGGTTGCCTGGTGTTTTCCACTGAAAGGCTATTTCCATACAAGCTGCTGCTAATAACACCACAACTATCTCATTATGTGCTCCTAATGTGTCCAAAGCTGAAGCAGGAACTAAAACAAAAATTGTGAATTGGAACACAATCCTATCACATGTGTTCAAGAGAGCCATCAGTGCCACCATCTCTCCAATATGGGGTGAGATTGAGTTGTTAACAAAGTGGAGCTTTAGGGTGTCCAATGCCATCGAAAGAGCACTTTAAGTTCTGCCTTTTATATTCAAGTTGTTATTTTTAAGCCGGACTTGGCCTATGTAGCCATGTTGGTTCACGTTTCTCCAAAGCCAGCCCATCTTCCCAAGCCCATGACGGCAGTGATCAATATTCAGGAGGATGGATTCAAATATCTGAAGATGGAGCAAGCTTTGTTTTCTGCTGCTCCAGAGGGGAGGACCCAAACCAATCACTTCAAATGGCAAGGAAGAACTTTCTGATGGTAAGAGCTGTTCAACAGTGGAATGCAGACCTGGCCCAACTTGAGGCAGGGTAAAGCAGCTGCCTCTGGTGGCAGAAGCCCCTGAGGCAGCATCCCGCCCCTGGCATTGGTGCAAATTTCCAGCGGAATCTTGTTGGAAGTCAGTGTCAATGCTGGCACCACTTCTCCACCCGTGGCAGAGGCAAGCAGTTCAGTGGTGGGGCAGCACTTCCTATTTCGCCTTGTGTCACCTCTGAGCAGTATTTTTTTCTGGGGATACGCAAACCCCTAAACATTCTGTAAATCTAAGTTTGGCCTCATTGAGAGGCAGTATTTCAATATGAGTAGGAAAATGAGAGTACTCTTAAACATTTTTTTTTAAAGTAAAAAAGCACTGCCTCTGAGATAAGCCTCTTCTGATGACTTCCCACCCAACTTTGTCTCTCATCCGCCTTGGAAGGATGCTGGCAAGACCTACTCAGGAGTACTCAGCAGAAGGTAAACCTAGTCTCCCACCCTCAAGACTCCAGGCGTCACACTGCCCTCACCCCTGAAACACACAGACACTTTAGTTCAGAGTCCATCAGTATTTATTAGTGTGGAAATTACAGAAACACCAAAGGCTGCGTCTTTAAAGTAACAGACAGAAGGCACAGCCACCTGAGCAGCTGCGTCTTCCAGAAACACTTTTTTTTGCAGCCACGTTCAGGCCATTCTGGCTGAGATTAGAGTCCCTGAAGGGGAAACAGCTTTTTCAGGGTGGGGGTGGGGTGTTCAGAGCAACAATCAAAGGAAAAACACTTTCTATAGCAACCATTTTGCAAGTGCTAGTTATGCCTTCCACTCCCCAAAAGCCCTCAGTGCAACGGGGCTGGGGGGTGGGGAGTGCTCAAGTAGGATTCCTTGGAGGAGAAGGTTTGGGTGGTGCTTAGGACTGACCAAGCTAGGGATCATCTCTCAGCATTGCCTTCAAACCTTCCACCAATATTTCCATTCTAGCAGCAAACATTAATACAGAGCAGCTAAATCTAAAAAAAAATGTGGGCTGGGTTTGACCTCTTTTTTTGTAGTGGGTGCAGGGAGAAAGATTTCATGGCATCTAAGTGCAAAAGCTGACCAATACTGGAATGGTTACTTTTCCTACAGGCTAGCGGAGCCGCCCAGCCACAGGCAAGACTGTCCTGCAAGGCTGCGGCTCCACCACGTCAAGTCTTCCAGAAGCAGAGGAAGACTTGAGCTAACGGAAACAAGGGTACCCCATTTTTTGGGAGGGCATTTATCAGTGCTACAATCCCTAAGGGGAGCGGGAAGACTTGGAGAGTGCAAAAGAAAGAAGCCCCTGACTAACTGGGAAATAAGGGTGTTAAATGTGCTCCCCTCATCTCCACAAAGAAGGGAAAATTCACCTGCACTTATTTAAGCGGGCTTGAGTGAGTTGTGAAGCTCCTTGGAACATCTTGTCTTAAATGCAAGCTGGTTCCCCAAGTTGTATGGAGACAGGAAGCTGGCCTTAGACCAAGTCAGACTGTCTGCTGTCCATCTAGCACAGCAGCTCTTCAACTTGAGGGGGGCCTTCCCTAGCCCTGCCTCCTGAGGATTGGAGGGTTGGACTAGATGACTCTTTGGGTCCCCTTCCAACTCTACAATCCCAGGACTGTATGAGATTCTATAACTGTTTGGGACCTTCTGTGTGCAAAGTGGATGCTCTTCTACTGAGCTATGGCCCAAACTTAAGAGGCCTATGGTTAGAAAACAGTAAGGAGCTCTGCTTTTTGCAGAGGGAGTTGGGATGGGAGCTGGTAGTTAGATCACTGCCCCTTCCTCCCCGGCCCCAATTCCCAGTCTGCCTTCCAAAAAGCAGCTCAGGATTGACCAAGGTAAAAGAGGAGGCTCACAGCGAGGAGCAACTGATGACCTAACCATTTCAGAAGAGCAAGTCCCCTTCACCATCCTCTGTGCATCTGCCCAGGCACCAAGTACCCCTTCACTGAGAGTCGGGGGAAGGAATCTGCTCCTACTGGAAAGGGAAGCACCCTTTAAACACACACCAGCACCAATCCTGGCCTGGTTGAAGGATCTCAGCAAGGTTAAGGGTCCTATCCTAGGACATGCTACCTCCAGTCTCTACCGTTCATAGCAGCAGGCAGGAGCAGGGGCCAGATCTTCTTAGTTATGCACTAGGCCTAACCAGGGCTATTTGGAAAGGGAAATGGGTAAACAGGGTCAGTATAATGTACAGGGAAGGTGCTCCGATCTTCATCTTGGTGCTGGGTGGAAAGCCAGCAAGTTGATGATTTGGACCGGAGGCAGTCAAGGGGCCCGAGAGGCTTACTCTATCACTGCAGAACTGCACATTGAGTTCATGCCACAGGCATGGCTGCCACGATACAGGTAGTAGTAGCCCTGAAAAGAGACATGGGACAATTGTCAGTAAGCAGCACAGATCTTCCATGACCAGGAAAGCCTAGTCACAGTATTGCTTACTTCAAGATTGGATTACTGCAACACACTCTTCGTGGGGCACCCCTTGCGCTTGATTGGGAAGCTGCAGTTAGTGCAGAATGCTGCAGCACAATTGCTGACAGGACCCCATATAACACCTCTGGTCGGAGATCTGCACTAGTTGCCCATTTGCTACCCAGGCCAGGTTCAAGGTGTTACTATCAGCATACCAAACCCTTATCAACTTGGGACCAGTTTACCTGTGTGATCACCTCACCCCATGTATATGCCCACTTATATCTGTGAAACTGGCATTGTTACAGATGCCACATAATACCTGTTGCACATTTGTAAGTAATAGACCTTTTATTGTGACAGCTCCTACACTTTGGAACTCCCTGCCCATTGACACCAGGCAGATACCTTCCCTGTACTCTTCTCAGTGCCTGCGAAAAACTTATTTTGTTTACAGAAACCTAGCCAAATATGTAGAATGTTTACATGTGTTTTTAATTGTTTGTAGTAAAGTTTTAAAAAGCTGGTTTTGGTAGTTTTCATTGATGGTTTTACAGTGGTACCTCATGTTACGTACCATCCCCCTTACGAATGCTGCGGGTTACGTGCTCCACTAACCCAGAAGTAGATGCCCCTTTTTGTGACCTTTGCCCCAGGATGTAAGCAGAAGTTGTGGCGTGGCAGCAGGTGCCATTAGAGAAAGCACGCCTCATGTTACAAGAGGTTTCCTGTTACGAACAGACCTCTGGAACGGATTAAGTACGTAACACGAGGTACCACTGTATATCCTTTCTGTAAACTGTTTTGAGATTTTTTACAATCAAGCAGTTCCACAGTATGATCACACCTTACACGCATTTAAGTTTCAACCATATGTGACTGAAGGCGAGCTGGTTGAATTTGTGCAAGTCAAGTCCCAAGCAAGATGGAGAGCTTAAGAGCTCTTTTTGCATTGGGTTCACTTGCAGTTACCAGGGGTGGAAAGAGCTTCTAAGCTCTCTGCCTTACTTGCTGGGGATGCTGGGGGATTATCTCTCCCCATCTGCCTTACTTCAATTTTCATGTATACGCAGAACCCTTGGACTCAAACCTCTACATAAAATGTGATCGTACGGAGCTTACATTTTGTGATATCTATCTATCTCCACCTTCTGCCTGCACATGAGCATGTCATTGGCCAGCACAACATAAGCAGAAGTCAGCCATACCCTGGCACCGGCTCCTCCTTGCCTCAATAGCGTTGTCAAGCAAAGAGACACTGGGTTAGGGGTCGGCAGCAGGCAGTTACACTGAGGAGAAAGCCAAGCCTGACTCATGAGCTTTCAGTGTATCAGCCCCTTCCTAACGATGTGAACAGAGATTGCCAAGAGCGGGGGAAAGGTTGCCCAGCTGAGTTTGGAAGAATGCTTACCTTCTCTCCCCAGTTCTCTCCCCAACTGTTCTTGATCGCCCAGAATGGAGTACGGCCCCCTGTGTGTGTATACAGGTGGAAACAGAAGAGAGTCATCAGGGGGAGAGCAGCAGTAAACCGCTTTGAGCTTATAAATTTTATAAAACCCTCCATTTATCCCTCGAGAGAGTTTCCCCCCCCCCAAACCCATCAATCTCTTGAAGTGGCTTAAGACAGATCTGATCTCTGCATCATCCTTGGATGGAAGCCAGCAGCTTTTTGGAAGCAGGAAGGAATTCATTCTTGACCCTTCCTGCTTCCTCCATCCACCCACCGCTCCCTGCCCACCTCTGAACACCATCACAAGCAAGGAAACTCCCCACTTGTAGTTCTCCTTCAGCCTCTATTAGTCACACCTGTTACAACTGGGGAGTCTGATGCGAAACTTTGGGAATCATGGGAACTAGGGAGTTAGATCAGACAAACATCAGGTGCCAGCACTAGTAAAACTGCTCTAATATGTTTTGCCCAGACGCATGTAGGTTTTAACTGAGCAAGCTTTAGGGTAATTTAAAGTCTCATCTGCATTTTTTCTAACGCTTTGCGTGAGCGTTTTAGGAATGAGATAGGGTGGCACCAAAAATTTGTTTTAGATAGGCCGCGCAAATAAATTAGAAAGAACAAAGTAAAGCAAGCTTATTGAACACAGATGGAGACTGCTTCTGAATGCTAAACTGCAGGGTGGAGGAATGGAGATTCCAGAGCGAATCTTCCCACCTTCATGCTTTGGGAGCATCCTCCTCCCCCCCCCCAAGTAAAAGTAGCCACTTACGTGTGCCGTAGCCCACCAAGAGGAACTGCGTGGTCAATCATCCAGGGGTTGCAGAGCAGGAAGAAGGGGTGGGAAACTCCCCTCCTGTAGAACTGGATATGGGAAGAAGGGGGAAAGGGCTCAGAGTCAATCCTGGACTCCAAACAACTTAATACATACATGTTGCACCCTGTGCAATGTTTGGGCCTTCAGGCAACTTAGGAGGGCTTGAAAGTCTATGCCTGAAGCTACTAAGAAAGTCAAATGTGTCCTAGCTGCAAGGAGTCCTTGCCCCTCTGAACAGATCTGTTCCCTTGTGTTCTGCATGACTCAGCCCTCCCTCTCTCAATGAGCAACAAAAACCGAACTAGGCCAATCTGAATTTGGAAGCAGAGTAAGCCGTGTAAAAGAAATGTAAGGAGGGCTAGCTGTTGGATCAGACCAGAGGCCCAGCAGTCTGCCTCAGTGACCAACCAGAAAGCTCGCAAGGACAACAGCAATACTCTCTTCTCCACCTGCGATTCAACTGGTGTTCAGGTGCAGCTGCTTCCCGACAGCGGAGGCAGAAAATAACCATCATGGCTAGCAGCCGTCGCCAGGCTTATTCTCCTTGAGTTTGTCACATTAGTGGCCATTGCTGCATTTAGCGCTTGCAAATTCGACAGTTCTATTTCTGTGTGGAGAAGGGCTTTATTTTGCCTATCCTGAATCAGAGATGGCTCTGGGTACTAGGGCAGGAGGTGGCAGAGCTCCAACGGCATCCCAGGATTTCTTTTTTTAAGTTTTAAAAAGCAAGGGAAAATGGAAAACCTATGGCCACATCATAAAGTTAATGCAACTCCCTGCTCAAACTTACATAGAAATTTCTGTCCCTCCACTGTGATTTTTTGGGAGGTTTTCATTTTGTTCCCCCACCTTGCTCAACAAATGATGTGGGGGGGGGGGAATGTTTTTTGACCAAAAGGGCGACCTCTGTTCCTTACAGCATGGAAAAAGAAGCATGGCCCTCCAGGGGCTCCCTCACCTGCATGGCAAAGGCGTTCAGAGCAATGGAAATAGGGCCGTTCTTAGCCAGCCAGGCAGCGATCTCTGAAACGGAGAGGGTGACTGGTTAATAAGCAAGGCCATTGTATGATGCAGAGAGATATAAGAGAAGGAGAGGGAGCTTATGGGAGCTGCGCTGCAGGCCCTGCCCCAGAAAACGAAAGCATTTTACACATGTGGATCACCATGCATTTGAGATACTGATACGCTGCCTCTCTCCCTGGCCTCTGTTGCACTTCCCACACCCATGCATGGTGGCAGCAGGTAGGACAAGAGATCGTAGCAGGACGGCTCAGCAGACAAGCTGTTAAGTATCAAGTGTGTGGTCTTGAATGTTTCTTAGCCATAAAAGCAGCAAGAAGGGCACCTATCAAGTCCAGAGAACATCTAGGGCAGGCCTGGGGTGCCTCAGGGACCTATGCAGTCATCCAGACCTCTAAATCCATCCCACAGGCCACAAGTCTCTCTGACCCTGCCCTGTTTTTCTTGGCCAGAATGTGTTATTGGACCATGGTAATATCTCTTGCTTGTATGGATGAAGAGGGAGTAAATAACCTATGCACTGGCTGCCCAAGCCAGATCCTTGTACTGATTTTACAGAGCCCTGAACAACTTAGATCCAAGGCACCTTAGAGATGGCCTGAACCTTTATATCCTGGCTCAGTTACCAAGATCACCTGGAAGAACCTCATTGGTCATCCCTTGAGTTGGCAAAGGTGATTTGACATCAACGTGAAATAGAGTCTTTAGTCTTATTGGCCTAGTCCTATGGAACACTCTGCTAACAGAGATTCAGCATCCAGCTACTTTTAAACATCCGCTGAGAACTTCTCTATGTCGTCAAGCTTATGCCAGCAATTAAGAAGCCATCTTTCCATAACACTTAGATGATGGTCTCTGATCTTAAATGTGTTTTTATATTATATAGTTATTATTGTACACTGCTTTTATTTTGTTATGATTTGCAGCATATAAATATTTTCATAAACAGATATATATGTCTACACCAATTCTTACATGGCTGACTTCCGTCACATCTGTTGCCCTGTCCAGATGTTTTGAGACTACAATGCCCATCATCCCTGACCACTGGTCCTGTTAGCTAGGGATGATGGGAGCTGTAGTCCCAAAACATCTGGAGGGCCGAGTTTGCCTGTGCCTGCTCTGGCCCCACATACCACTGGCATGTGGCCTCTGGAAGTTTGGCCAAGAGGGAAGGCAGCCCTGGGACTGGGAAAAGTTTGCCCAACCCTTGCTCTAGGCAGTAGCAAGTGGCCTTCCTCATTCCACAGCAGAGTGTTCCAGATCTCTCTAGGTATTAAGAGGCCCACAATTTGATTCACTAACTGGCACCCCAAGCCATGGTCTCAGACATGTACCTGTCTCATCCCGGGATATTGATACGGAGCTATTGATGTAGACGGCCACCTTATCCTTGGAGAAGCCGCACTTCTGCTCGAACCCCTCATAACTGTAATCGCGCTCTGTCTCCAGGCCGCCTGGGGAAGAGGAGGAGAATCAGGAAGGCCAAGGAAGGTGATGACCTGGCAAGGAAAACCGTGTACAGGCGGGGCTCTTGCTGTGCAGAATAAGGATCTAAGAGTGGCTTTTTTTAAAAAAACCCACATTTATTATGCCCTAATAGGCAGGTGGCGCTGTGGGTTAAACCACAGAGCCTAGGACTTGCTGATCAGAAGGTTGGCGGTTCAAATCCCCGCGACGGGGTAAGCTCCCATTGCTCAGTCCCAGCTCCTGCCAACCTAGCAGTTCAAAAGCACACCAAAGTGCAAGTAGATACAGTGGTACCCCGCAAGACGAATGCCTCGCAAGACGGAAAACCCGCAAGACGAAAGGGTTTTCTGTTTCGGAGGCGCTTCGCAAGACGAATTTCCCTATGGGCTTGCTTCGCAAGACGAAAGCCCATAGGGAAATCTCCGGGGACCTGTTTTAAATTGCTGGCGGTCGGGAGCAAAGACTTTCGCCCACAGCCGGCCTTCAGAAGAGGTCCTGGACCTCTTCTGAAGGCCGGCGGGGGGCAAAAGTCTTTGCTCCCCCCCGTCGGCCTTCCCGGGACAGCGGAGACTTCTCCGCTGCCCCGGACGATCTTAAAATGCTGGCGGGCGGGAGCGAAGCGTTCGCTGCCGACCCCCAGCATTTTAAAATCTCCCCGGGACAGCAGAGAAGTCCCGCCCCGCTCCAGATGGCCGCGCAAAGCTGCCTGCAGTCGCGGGACTGCAGGCAGATCTGCGCCACCATCCCGAGCGGGGCGCTAAGTCCCGCCCCGCTCGGGATGGCGGCGCAGAGCTGTCTGCCGTCCCGGGATCAGCGCAGCTCTGCGCGGCCATCGGGAGCCGGGGGCGAAGCCCGCCCCGCTCCAGATGGCCGCGCAAAGCTGCCTGCAGTCGCGGGATTGCAGGCAGATCTGCGCCACCATCCCGAGCGGGGTGCTAAGTCCCGCCCCGCTCGGGATGGCGGCGCAGAGCTGTCTGCCGTCCCGGGATCAGCGCAGCTCTGCGCGGCCATCGGGAGCCGGGGGCGAAGCCCGCCCCGCTCCAGATGGCCGCGCAAAGCTGCCTGCAGTCGCGGGATTGCAGGCAGATCTGCGCCACCATCCCGAGCGGGGTGCTAAGTCCCGCCCCGCTCGGGATGGCCGCGCAAAGCTGCCTGCAGTCGCGGGATTGCAGGCAGATCTGCGCCACCATCCCGAGCGGGGTGCTAAGTCCCGCCCCGCTCGGGATGGCGGCGCAGAGCTGTCTGCCGTCCCGGGACTGCAGGCAGATCTGTGCCGCCATCCCGAGCGGGGCGCTAAGTCCCGCCCCGCTCTGGATGCCAGCGCAGAGCTGTCTGCCGTCCCGGGACTGCAGGCAGATTGCCGCCATCCCGAGCGGGGCCGCTAAGTCCCGCCCCACTCTGGATGCCAGCGCAGAGCTGTCTGCCGTCCCGGGACTGCAGGCAGATCTGTGCCGCCATCCCGAGCGGGGCGCTAAGTCCCGCCCCGCTCTGGATGGCGGTGCAGATCTGCCTGCCGTCCGGGGATCAGCGAAGCGTTCGCTGCCGACCCCCAGCATTTTAAAAATCTCCCCGTGTCCCGGTGAGATTTTAAAATGCTGGGGGTCGGCAGCGAAGCCCTTGTTCCCCCCAGCCCCCCCAGCCTTCAGAAGCCCTTGTCCCCCCCCCCAGCCTTCAGAAGAGGTCGGGGGAGAGACTGTCCCCGGACCTGGTCTGAAGGCGGTTTCCCTTGGAACGCATTAATTGATTTTCAATGCATTCCTATGGGAAACCGTGCATCGCAAGACGAAAAACTCGCAAGAAGAAAAAACTTGCGGAACGAATTAATTTCGTCTTGCGAGGCACCACTGTAAATAGGGTACCGCTCCGGTGGGAAGGTAAACGGCATTTCCGTGCGCTGCTCTGGTTCGCCAGAAGCGGCTTAGTCATGCTGGCCACATGACCCGGAAGCTGTACGCCAGCTCCCTCGGCCAATAAAGCGAGATGAGTGCCGCAAGCCCAGAGTCGGTCACAACTGGACCTAATTGTCAGGGGTCCCTTTACCTTAATAATACTTCTAGAGGCAGCTTCCAGCAATAAAAGCAGCAAGGAACAACAATCCCTACATGAGAAATCAACAGCAGCCAGAATCCAGCAGTTCTGAAGAGGGATTTTGCATTGTCAACAAACGGCTGAACAAACAGAGCATCTTCCAGCCTCACTGTGGTGGTTGCTTCACAGCCATTGGGGAACTGCAGTAAAGGCAGCATGTGCACTCTTGAAAAATTCAGGGTTTGCCCCAAGAAAGAGGGAATGGATTTTTTCTAAAAGGGAAGGATCTGGCATGAATGGTGCTCTAGATGCAACTGACAAAACTCAGTTACCTTTTAGCCTTGGGAACAAACCAGCATTTCCAGCACCAACGTGCTCAAGGCACCCAGTTTCTCCAGTTCAGAGACTGTTTGTGAAAACAAGTCTCTGAACACTCAAAACATCTTATTCTCTGGATGTCAAGGCACATGCAGAGGAACAAGTTGCAGACCAAGTGCCGCGCTGGAGCAAAAAATATTTTGCTGACTCACCCAGCCCTTCGATGGCCTCGTAGGCCGTGGATGGAAGTCCTCCTCCGCAGGCTTTGTCTACGGAGTCACAGTCCAGCAGCTCTGTGGAGTGAGCAGAAATCAGGTCAGCTGGAAACTGGAGGGTGAGCACCCAGAGACATGTCCAGTCTTGCTCCTGAAGTCAGCCAACTTCCCAATTTATTTCTTTATGACATTTCTTTCATAAAATTCATATGCCACTTGATTGAAGGAAAAACTCAAAGCAGTTACATCTCGCTCTTTGCCATATGTGATCTTAGGATGGGTTATAACAAGGTAATGAAAGCAAAAAATAAAATCTGCTTCGAGAATGCAAGCATCCTCTACCTGTAAAACATTTGAGTCAATGCGGCCATGTAAACAAGGCACAACCAATAACTTCACTGGCAGTTTTTTTGTTTTCTTTTAGCTCTGCTGCCCCAGAAAGCTCCCAGATCCAAACATGAGAGGCCAGGCCTCCTCAAAGAACTCCCTACCTTGCTCAGAGAGGGAAACCAAAGTGCCATTGCGGAGGAACCACTGCCCTTCCACGTTGCCTGTCACAGAGAAGGCCCAGCAGGAGCCACAGTAACCCTGCAGTCATTGAGAAAAGGAAAGAGTTGCTCCAGATAGTATGAACTGGCCATAAGATGAAAAAGGAGACAATTCAGAAGCAGCCTGGAAGAAGGCAACTTACATCAGTTAAACAACTTCACTGGCTACTGGTCCACTTTTGGGCACAATTCCAAGCGCTGGTTCTGACCTATAAAGCCCTATATGGCCCTATATGGGACCAGGCTTCCTGAATGACCATAACTCCCTATATAAACCTTTCTGGGAGCCAAGATCCTCAGGTGAGCACCTTCTCTTGGACCATTAACATCAAAACACGGTTGGTGGTGACACGAGAGAGAACCTTTGCTGCGGCTGCTCCTAGATTGTGGAATCCTCTCCCAGGAGAGGTTAAACTGGCTCCCTCTTGTTTATCTTTCTGCTGGCGCACTTAAGACTTTTGTATTTCAGACAGGCCTTTGAAAACTAAGGTGCAGACGATGCAGATGCTGTTGCCGGGGCAAACTGTACTTTAGCTGCTGGTTCTAAATGTGCTTCGATGTATTTTAACTACTGCTTTCAATTAGTTTTATTACTTTTCATTTTATGGAGGACGTTTTTTACATGTTGTAAGCTGCCTTGTATCCCAATTTGATACAAAGCTGGGATATAAATTCCTACAGAGAACAAACAAAATAAAGCTCAGGCCCAGAGCCTAGGGTGGATCACTACCTTCCTTCCAGCTCCTCACCAACCTCACGCAACAAACCCACACAGGGAAACAGGGAAACTTTTATCCCCTTTGGAAACTTTAAGCCCAACCTGGTCCCCTTGAGGAAGCAGCTGCTTCCATAGTGGGGTGGAGGAAAACCAACCTGGTTCTTGACACCCGTGACAGCCCCGTGGGTCCCGCCAGTCCCATGCATCAGGGGGTGGATCTTTAGGGATGGTGGCTGGTTTCATTGGCCGACCAGGCAGCTGGGAAAGCAGTGGGTTCAAGTACGTGGAGCGGAACTCCTCCTCTGAAACAAAGGAGAAAGATACATTGTGCGATGAAAAGACGAAAGCACCAGACTTCATAAAATATGACACTCTAGCCCAGTGTTTCCCAACCTTTTTTGGGCAAAGGCACACTTGTTTCATGAAAAAAATCTCGAGGCACACCACCATGCCAGATGGGGAAAGGTCACTTTTTACTTATGTAAAAAAAAATAAAAAAATAGTAACAGCATAGAAGGTAGAGAAGGTAGGACTCGAACCAGTGGATTCACGTTACAAATAAAGATTTTGACTAAACATGGGAAAGAACTTTCTGCTGGTAAGGGCTGTTCAACAGGGGAATGGTCTCCCTCGGGAGGTTTTTCCCTTCTTGGAGGTTTTTAAGCAGAGGTGGGATGTCTGTCTGCCATGGATGCTATGGCTGAGATTCCTGCACTGCAGGGGTTGTACAGTACTGGATAGCCCTGGGGTCCCTTCCAACTCTACGATTCTATTAGGATCCCTTTTATAAAAGAGAGAACTTTAATGGCACGGCCATTATTATTTCGGCTTCTCCCAACGGGGCCACGAAGGATCAGAAAAGCTGAAGAAGAGACCCTTCCTCAGAAGGAGGTGGGAGACCACCGGACCCGCCGAGGAGGGGAATCCGGCCGCCTTCCTTCCAGAGCTTCGCCTTTTGCCCCGGCCAAGTTGCGCCAAAGGGCGGCCTTGTGGGCTCTGCGTGGCTTCAGGCGGAGCCTAGGAGCCACTTCCCAGCCTGGAGGCAGGCTGTGCGCGGACCCCGCCACTCTCGGGGCGCGGGACCAGACCCGGCTGCCTTCCCACGGCCAGCAGAGTAGGCCGCCAGCTTTACAATAAAACCCGGAAGGGAACTGAGGAGCCGTCCCGCATGGGGCAGCGCAGCAGCTCCACCAGCGCATCCTCCGCCCCGCCCTTCTCCCGGGTGCTCCTCCCTCCTTGTTCTCCGCGTACGCCCCGATCCCTCTTGCCCCAGCTCTCGCCTACTCAGTTCTGCAGCAGTCCGCCACTCAGGTGGGGGCCCGCTTTGGCCCCGCTCCCCGGCCGCCGAGAGAGAGTTGGAGCGTGCGGGCTGGCACTGCGGCGCGGCATCTGGGCGTCTCCTTCCCTGCAGCCGCTGCTTTTCTCTGGTGGCCTGTCTGTTCTAGCAGCTCGTCTCATCCCCTTTCATCCATGCCGTGCATGCACTCTCCAGCCTAACTTGGGACCCAGCGGGGAGGCCAGTCTCCCAGACATGCCAGGCGGCCGGAAGGAGCCGTCGCTCCGCCGTGGGCAAGCGCCTGCCTGTGCGCCCCTCCGCTCCCTGCGCCGAGGATGGTGAGGGGCCGCGGGCGCAAGGCAGCTCGGGGCCTGCTGGGCAAGCGGGCAGATGCTGATGCAGTGTTGGCGGTAATTTCCTGGTTCACAGGGAGCAAGGCAGAGAGCGTGGATAGACGGGTATGCGTGCATATATATCCACTCTACTGAGGTGCTCGCAAGGCCTACTGTGGGGCGGCCCACGGCGAGCGGGGGCTCCGGAGATCTAGCCCGACATCGCCCGCCTCGCTCTCCCACGGACAACTAGGCATACGCTCCGCCGCCACACTAGTGTGCGCTGGGGCGAATCATCGGATTGGGATAACGCACTGCGTCTAGCCTTCTCCCGGGCTGGGTTGAAGATTTTTTAGAGTTCTTTATCTGCCACCACAATTACATACATTCTGGTGACCTCCAGTGTTACTTACTTAGTTTCATTCCGGAGGCGTCCGTTCTTAACCTGAAACTGTTTCTTTAACCTGAAGCAACGCACTTCTTATACCAACTCGGTCCTTCCCTTGCTGCCGTGCACCGCGATTGAATTGCTCCGCTGATTTTCTGGTCTCTCAGATCCTCTCGCATACTATCAGAGTTCTTAACCGAGTTTAGACTCTCTCACTGGTAGTTAGACGCGCATCAGTCTCAGAAGCTTCAGTTGGCATTGCTGTACCTGAATCGGTATGTAACCCAAACCGTTATGCGACCTCGTTTGTCGTGGGCATCCCTCCTGTTCCTCTTTGGACTCGCTGTTGCCGTGTTCAGTTTTTACTGAAAATAGTGGCGAACGTAGGTTCTACGGGTTAGATGTGGTATTAATGGGTGAGGTGTGCGCCATATTGTGTGTGCTGTTGAAGTGTATTTGTTGATGCGTTACCCTCTGTTATCCTCGACATTTGTGTTCTATTATCTCTTTCTCGTTTTATTGTTTGAACAAAACAACCCTTTATATCTACACATTGTAATGGTGGATAATTATCGTATATCCGAGTTTACCTTAATCTCGAGAATGAAATTAACTAAATAAAACATCTGGTTTGAGACACCTGCCACTTTCCAGTGACTGGCGGTATAAATGTATACACTTACCACACTTTGCCAGAGGATTAAAGAAAAACAAGACTCTAATTGTCTAGCTTTTGGAGCTGTTTTTCAGACAGGGGTTCGGTCCGGTGGCAGCTTTACGTTGACAGTGTCGCCGGAACGGTGGTGTTTCCACGTAAATGCGAAAATTAGCTGAATAAACGATTTGTTCCTTACCCGTCGGATCGCCTATGCGATCTGAGGTGTAGTATTGGAGGAAGCCGTTCCCGTAACAAAGCTGGGCGCAGCAGGTTTGACATACGAGTAGTCGCTCTCTGTTAGCTCTGCAGCACTGTTCAGCCTGGTGCCCTGCCGGCATGGCGTTTTCGTCCTGCACACTCTGGAGAGGCGAGCAACTTGGCTTGGACCAAGGTGGGTCTACCAGAAAGGTGTTGTCGATGCTAGCATACTGCATCAGAGGAAGTAACTAGTCCGCTGCCCCGTCCCCACCTCAACCTGTTACAGATCACATTGAATTTGGTGAACACCATATCTCTGCCGATGCCCTTTGAATCCAAGATTCCTGAATTAGCCGGGCCTTCTTCCAGACTCTCTGCAAAGACTGCGGGAAACGGCCGTCTTCAGATTGCCTGTGCGACGCGTAAGACGTCGGGAACTTTGCAGAGTGAGCCACTGGAAACGAAGGACTGAGTGAGATGTGCGGAGCAGTATCTTGATTTCTCGTATTAGCGGGATTTCTATTCTCGTACTTTAATCCAGCTTTATGCTTACTAGTCTCTTATAAAGGGATGCTCAACATCGCAGGAATGGCTTCACTGCCAGCAGTGTGTTGTGGGGCGGTGGGCTCCGAGGAGTGGAGGAATGCCAAATTGTTGATCAGGAGAGCCTGAAGTCAGAAAGGGAGGCGGGAGCCTGTGCCTTCCCAAATGCCTGCCTTTCCCAACATCCCAACAGCCAAAGCAAAGACAGCCATGGCGGCCGTTCGCTCGCGTCCGTGCTCGGTGCAAAATCTCGGCCATACATGGAACTTGAGAGATCGTATGTGTAGCATATAGAAGCGTAGCCTTGACCTTGTTGCAGGACTTATATGCTTTAATATCGCTTTCGGTCTGGGGCCGTGATGTTATTTATCGCCTGCTTTGCCTTCACTAAGCGCCACACTATCTGCGTTTACCGAAGCCACCACCCGCGAGGCGAGGTGGGCTGACAATCATTTGCTCCTCATTTACTTGTATATTTGCCTTCTGACTCGCCACACCATACATTACTCTGTCGAGTTACGGTTTCCACAGGTGTGAGACCTAAGTTGAGGCGAACTGCACCGGGCCCAAAGTTATCCCAATGAGCTTTCATGGAAAGTCGGGAGTGGCGGGAAATTCTTTTAACTCTGCCGCTCTGCCATGGCGTCTAGACCACCGCAGTAACCTCATGCAGGGGCGCCCAGGGCAATGTCTGTTTCGCTTTGCCTCAACAATTTCGCCTTCAACATTCAACCTGCTTGTCCCTTGTGCTCTTCTCATAACGTTTGTCAAGAACTCATATGAAGTCGCTGCTTGAGGTCCCATGAACGGGAAACATGCTCGATGTTGGAGGCATTTCTTTGGGTCAGTCCCGACGCGGGAACGCAACGCCGTCTTCCCAGAACTGAGCAAATGAACTGGTACACACAGTTGCAGAACATGAACTTCTCTTGCATGGCCTGATAATACTATAGGAAAGCACTACTCTCCCTGCAACTGCGCTCCTTCACGCTTTCGAACTTTTTATTTGGATTTTCTAAACTGCCTTGATCCCTCTATCACATGAAAGTGACCTACTGGGGACCTCGATTATGGCTGCGGATAATCCTATCAAATAGTAAATTAGCCCCCTTACCCTGTTATGGAAAGCGTGCCTTTTCGATGCTGCTGGAAAGATGAACAGTATTCTCCTGAGTATAAGCTCATTAATTTTTCCTTTTGAGAACACTTATCATTTTTCATGGCCCCATCAGGCGGTTAATATGTCTCCAAGGAGCTATGTCTTCCTCTTTACTCTCCTATATAGTTAGATAATACTCAGATATTGCTCTGTGATTTTGGTTCTATATTATCCCGTTCTCGGTACTTTTCTCTACCGATTCTCTCTCGTGTGTCCATAGTGCTGTTCAGTTTACTTAATATGATACAGCTCGCGCTGTTCTTCTACTCTGTCATTTACTCTTATCTAGACATACCTCTTTAATACATATATTATAGACACTCTCACATATAAATTTATTGTACCAGGTTTTTATGAAATCTAATCAATGGTCTCGCATCTGAACCTATACTATGCCCTCGCCGAAACCTGGTCCATCTTTTCATTGACTTTAGACTTTCAATTACCCTACGCACATTACTATCTTTTTATCGCCTGTATCAGAAGGCAAAGGGTTATCTTTAGGCAAGAATGTATTCAAAGTACCCAAGCACGAATCAGCCATCCAAATTTACCTCAGATGTTTAGCATGGGAACATGCAAACAGGATTTCTGCCCACTTTTGACCCAAAGTGGAAGATTGTGCCTGAGTTCTCAAAATGTAATAAGTCATACCGTCGGAAGATCGAACGGAAGTCCTTCCGGAAGTCCGTCTGTACTAGTCAAGGATGTTCAGAAAACAAGCACGGCCTTCTGGTTGGTCTGC